GGGAAGTCCATATTCTTTCCATTATCCTTCTTATACAGCATCTCCTCCACATAGGATGCCACCTCATCACCCAGATACTTATGGAAGTCCTGGGCCACTGGCTCATCAACATCCATGCTGAGCAAGGTTTCTTCCCAGTGCTGTAATTGCAGGTCATCTACATCCAGGTTCTGCAGAGTTTGGCAAATGTTACTATCACTGTTGTTCTTCTCAAAGAGAGTTTCAATGATGACCAGGAATGGGTTATTTTCTTCTTTGATGTCTCCCACATTTCTTTCATTCTGGCATGGCTCTTCTACCACATCAAGGATATCTGCCAAGGAGAGTTGTGGCACATTATTGGCATGGGAGACATACACGGATTCATCTTGTTTCATCATGGCTCCTAGAAGAGAGTTGGGATCTATTGAGTCCTGTTCCATGAGGGCATCTTTCTTTGTCTTTGACCCCGTCTTTGCTTGGAAAGAGTCCAGGAATCCTGGAAGGTTATTCTCATACAGGACTGCTTCCCCTGTGGCAAAGCTAAAAGGCAGCTGCAGACTCCGCTTGTGCAAATGCTCCTCTCCTTCTTCATTTCTGCAGGTAGAGGAATGCAATGTTAAAAAGCCTGAGAAAAGTGGAAAAAGTGCAACAGGGTCTGTGGGACTGGACAAAGAAACACAGCAATCAGAGAGTGAGACAAGAGCCAACATTCTGTTTTGGTGTTGGGAGGGGGTGAGATTTATATAAAACTCTCCTCTTTATTGCACAGGTTGTATAACTGGCTCATTTGCTCAGAAATAAGAACTGTACCCACTCTGACAAATGGAACTGAGGAGCTGGGGCTTGTTTCAACATAGCTCGAGTAATCTGTCTGAAAAGCAATTTATTCACAGACTTTTAGATTTATATAAGTACAGGCCAGAAGGGACCAGTTAGAATCATAGAAAATAAGGCTGGAAGGGACAGTTCGTCCATGCCCTTGCCCTAAGGCACAACCAACTGTACCTAAATCAGTCGGCCTGTTCATAGCTAGTCAGCTAGGATCCGCTAGTCTAACCAGCTGCCTGATGCAGACTACTTTGTCCTTAGCCAAAGTGTATTTTCATACAGTGGAATTGTCAAAGGTACTCACTGTTGAACAATCACCGCTGCTTTTGAGGCCAATGGGAACATCACTATTGACTTAAAAGTAGGGGCACAATTAGGCAAAGTTTGGGTACTTTTGAAAATGGCATCCTTCACTTCTTATTACACTGTTCCTCTGGCAGTCAGGAAACCTTGCTCTTTTGTCCATGCGTATTTAAACATACTGGCTGATCCATCAATACATCTGACTTTCCATTTCTATGGGATGTCAGGATGGCTGAATGGTCTAAAACACTACATTCAGGTTGCAGTCTCCCCTGGAAGTGTGGGTTCAAATCCCACTCCTGACAACAGCCCTGGCCTTTTGATGGCTAGATAGGCATCTGGCTGGGGTCATCTGACCCCATCACTCTTTCCTGCCTAAGCAGGGGGTCAGACTCAATGAGCTGTTGAGATCCCTAGCATTTATGAATAAGATTTATTGTGATTATGCCCAACATAGGGAGAAAGTTTCAAAACAACCACTGGGAGTTAGGAGGACATATGCCAAGGATTTTCAGTAGGACCTGTGCTCCCAATTTACTCAGGCTCAGATTTTTAAAGGTATTTAGGCACTTAACTATTACTTCCCTCTTTCTGTCTCTAATTCTGCATTGCATTTTCTTTCTCTTCCACGTGTTTCTCCATCTTTGTCTACTTTGGCACTTGATTGTTCATCCTTCTGGTATCACTCTTTCCCTTAAATTCTGTTCAGCTGCAGGCTGGCAAGAAATGCAAGAGAACCCTAATCTACAAGATAGTAGCAGATTAGCATACTGTGCTAGGAGGCAATGCCTACTCCACCCAGTCTTCAAAAGCAACAGTCTACAAGGACTTGTGGTCCTCTTTACATTGGAAATTGTGTGGAATTATAATATAATAATTCTGTGGAATTATACTGATGTCTTGCAAAAGAGTCTACTGGGGGAAACAGGTTAATCACACACTAAAATGAATGAGTCCAATGTACATATTATGGACTTTCCACATCTGTGCTGCCAGCTGTGATAGGGGACTACTTATTCAGTGAGATTACCCTGTGAAAATAGTACAAACACCGCATTTCATTGGACTGAGTCACCTCCACTATCATCATCCTATCAGCAGCTAATAATGACCTTTCACCTGAAATGCTTTGTAATGTAAGGGTACTAGGAAAACATTAAACCTGAATATTCAGAATGTAATATTACAGTTTCACTAAAATGAATATTCATAGGGGACAAAGTTACCTTTTTTCTCCAGGATCTACATGCTCTCCTGCATCCATCTGCATTGCATACAGAGGTAACCACAATTTAACCCTCAGAGGTGACACCAGTCAGGCACCTATTTTCTCACTTGCTCTCATCACACTCACGCAAAAGCCATTCCTGATCCAGTACCTACTGAAGTTTGTGGGAGTCTCTCTTGATTTCAATGGGTACAGAGTTGGTTTGATTATTTTTTTAAGGATCCTCTGCTAGTTTAAGGAGAGTGGGATGAATTACTGTCCCCTGTTTGGAGGAGGTCTATAATATAAAGAGGTACATTATCAAGGTGGTCTGTGCTTAGACAGAAATGAGACTGCTCCAGTCTACCAAAGGAAAGAACTTCATAGCCGGAGACGTTTTACTGGCAACGTATTGTTTCTGAAATATTCTAGGTTTTCCTCCTGGCTCTTATAGTCCTAGCTCCCCAGTCAATCCAAGCATTGCAGATACTGTCCCCAGGAGATGTGGGCCTGACATAGGCCTGATAAGCAGATGGTGTTTCATTTCTTTTGTTGCATCCCCTACACTCCTGTCATCCCATCATCCTATGCAGGTCTGGCCTTGCAAACTTGAGGAAGAGGAAGGGAAGCAAAAAATTCTCACCTGCCTCCCATCCTCCAGCAGAAACAGAGCTCACTTACTACATCAGAATCAGGGCACTGATGCCACATTCAAAGAAATAAACATTAAGAGACAATTCTCCATATAGGCTGGTGGTAGGCAGGATCTGATTCCTACTGACATGATCCCACCAGTACACAGAGGATGAGAGTGATCATATGTGAAAAACATTACTGAAAGAAGGAACATGCTATTCTGCAGCCTAGCAAAAAACATCTCCATATTCAATAGTGATCCCTTTCTGTGTGACAACACTACTTGTGTTTGCTGGTTTTTGAGTGCCATTCAAGTTGTATGCCCACAGTTCCTTGCAGCCTCTGATTTAGAGAGGGTACCCAAATCTAAATCCTTTCCTTGGGGGAACCTGGAAACATAGTAATTAGAGACCATCTGATATTTTTAATTCCATGTGCTATTTTAACTCCACTGCATTGGCAGGTGATTTTAGCCTACAAATAGGATTGGGAGCTACAGGATGTTATCTTGTCTCCACTGAAGTTTTGCTACTGACTTCAATGGGGCCAAGGTTTTACTCACATTATTCAAAGGAATACTTACGACAGGGCCCGCTGTCTGGCAATGATGCAGTCTGGACGACCCCCTTTATACACCAGCCTTGCATTTGCCTGGACCCAGACCCAGCCTGCTTTCTTAGTCAGTAGCCTAAAGACAGTTATTCCACTTTCTCCGGTTTTCATCACTACAACAAACAGAAGGAAGTGTAAGCTCAGCAAAACTGTTATACTCAACAAATGTCCCTCAGTCTGCCTGCCCGCACCCCCCCCCCCCCCCC